TACCCCTGATTCCCAAAGCTCTCAATAAAAGCACCTGCACATAGTCATATCCCGCGATGATGTGTGCTCCTGAACGCTAACACAGAGATTAATCACCCCGGGGATGCCGCCTCACCCAACATCTCTACCGGCGAGGGGCTGCCCACAACTCCCTGTCCCCGTTTACCGGCGAGGGGCTGCAGGCCACAACTCCCCCGTCCCCGCTGGGCTAAGCGGGGGCCGGCAGCCCGGGGAGCGGAACGCGGCCCCGCAGCCGTCCCAAGGCAGCGGAACCCGCAGCTCCGCGCCGGGCCTCACCTTCCCCTTCAGGTCCAGCACATAGACGGCGCTGGCCGACATCGCCCCGGCCGGGCCCGTCCCGCCCGCCGCTGCCGCTTCCGCTTCCGCAGGAAGTGACGCCGGCGCGGCGGAAGGACACCGCGGCAGCGCCGTTAAATAGTCCCGGCGCGCCGGTCCGCGGGCTGAGCTGGGCACGGACACACGGAGAGCGTAATTCGGGTTGAGAACATCCCGGTTTGGGAGTTCCGACATCGTGATACATCCCTCAGAGGGGGTAACAATCAAACTCCACACGCCCCATTTCATTCCATCCCAAAAAAGGGGTGGAAGCAGCGTTTTAATAAATTACATCGAATTTACAACTTGCAGCAGACCCCTCTGGAAGACAGAAATGATACTGTTGATACTCAAGATAGAAATGATAACTGTTTGCCACAATTACACACTCGAGAGACACGCTGATTATTTATTTCAGAGCTGCACAAGCCTCGATGCTCGGTGGGATCCCAGAAATCCAGCTATCAAAACTTGGACATCACTCAGAGCTTGTTGGCTGCTCTCTATTTTATGGATTAAACCTCCCTTCTTGCTGGTTAGGCTTGAAAGTATACAAAGATCAAATACCAAAGAATATCCTTTCCTAAAACAATTTTACATATTTCATGTTTTGCAACATGGCCTCTGACAGAACTTGATAGAAAGTAATTATACAATTCACATAACTTACAAGAGAAACTTAATGAGACTGTCAGACTCCACTTGAAAAAAGGAGTACTGTTAGAACTAACAAAATAAAAGGAATGTTTTCCATCTGGCTCACAGCAATTCGTTCTGGCCTTAATCTCACTATAAACACTAAAAAAAACCAGCCCTCTCCATCGACGTAAACCAGAGCTCCTCAGCCCACAGGAGACATTGCTGGATGTTTGGTTTTAAATAACAAGTCTATAAAATAAGACAGTATGAAGTCATAAAAGCTCAGAAGATGTATTAGACAATATAGAGAAAAGACAGATTTACATGGCAACCCTGCTTGATACAAACAAAACACAACTCCAGCTCCAGAGCCGTGAAAAGCAGCCCGGTCATTTAGTCCAGCTGACTTTGGGAATGTCGTAATGCTCAGTCAGAGTATCCAAGTGCCTGTTGAAGTCCTGGGGGAGGCAAAGAGAAAGAAAACAGGGTGCTGACATCACCAAGTTGAACCACAAGCCCCCCCTGCGTCCCGGCTTGTGTTTCACAAGGCGGAACAGTTCCTTCAGCCCAACAAAACACGCTGGCCTGATGGACTCGGGATGGTTTTGCTCACCTCCACTCGCTGCTTGTGGGTTTTCGACGCTTTCTTCAGGATCCGTTCCATTTGCTGTAGGAGACACATTAAGGCCGGTTACTCCCGGCACTCGCAGCCCCCTCAGCGGCCGCACCCCAGGGGTGACAGCGGCTTTTAAACCCTTACCCGCTTCTCCTGCATCTTCTCGTAGGCCACCTGCGCCGGGGTCCGCTTGTCCAGCCCGCGCTTCTTCTCCTCCTCCTGCTTCTTGCTGCTCACGATCTGCTCCAGCATCTGGGCCTTGTCTTTCGCCTTCTTCTTCTTCCTGCGGGAAGCGCCCGGTCAGAGCTCAGCCCCGGCGCTGTGTGTCCCCTCCTCGCTCACGGTTCTCCCGACCCCTCCTCACCGCTCCCCGTTCTCCCCCGGTTCCCCCCGGTTCCCCCCTCACCGCTTGCCGGCCCCCAGGGCCCCGCCGCTGCCCTTCAGCCGCAGCGGACCGCGCTGCACCGCCTCGTAGTCCGCCATGGCGGAACGGCCGCGCCCGCGCCCCCTGCCGGCACCGCCGCAACGGCACGGCCGGCGCCGGGAGCCGCGCGCGAGCCCCGCCCGGCTTCTCCGTGAGGGGACCGGGAACGAGCCCGCCCGGCTTCTCCGTGAGGGGACCGGGAACGAGCCCGCCCGGCTTCTCCGTGAGGGGGACCGGGAACGAGCCCGCCCGGCTTCTCCGTGTGGGGGACCGGGAACGAGCCCGCCCGGCTTCTCCGTGAGGGGGACCGGGAACGAGCCCGCCCGGCTTCTCCGTGAGGGGACCGGGAACGAGCCCGCCCGGCTTCTCCGTGAGGGGAACCGGGAACGAGCCCGCCCGGCTTCTCCGTGAGGGGAACCGGGAACGAGCCCGCCCGGCTTCTCCGTGAGGGAAACCGGCCCGTCCGTGAGGGGAACTGAGGCGCCTTGCACCTCTGTGAGGGGAGCCAGGAACGAGCCCACCCGGCTTCTCCGTGAGGGGAACCGGTCTGTCCGTGAGGGGAACTGAGGCGCCTTGCACCTCCGTGAGGGGGACCGGGAACGAGCCCGCCCGGCTTCTCCGTGAGGGGAACCGGGAACGAGCCCCGCCGGGCTTCTCCGTGAGGGGAACCGGGAACGAGCCCGCCCGCCTTCTCCGTGAGGGGAACCGGGAACGAGCCCGCCCGGCTTCTCCGTGAGGGGGACCGGGAACGAGCCCCGCCGGGCTTCTCCGTGAGGGGAACCGGGAACGAGCCCGCCCGCCTTCTCCGTGAGGGGAATCGGGAACGAGCCCCGCCCGGCTTCTCCGTGAGGGAACCGGCCCGTCCGTGAGGGGAACCGAAGCGGCCATGAGGTGCCTTGCACCTCCGTGAGGGGACCGGCCTCTCAGTGAGGGGAACCGGGACGGCCATAAAGCCGCCTTGCATCTTCGTGAGGGGACCGGCCTCTCCGTGAGGGGAGCCGGGAACGAGCCCGCCCGGCTTCTCCGTGAGGGGAACCGGCACTGCCATGAGCTGCCTTGCATCTTCGTGAGGGGGACCGGGGACGACCCCTGCACGGTTTCTCCGTGAGGGGAACCGGGACTGCCATGAGCTGCCTTAGCACCTCCGTGAGGGGAACCGGTAACGAGCCCCGCCCGCCCCTCCGTGAGGGGAACCGAAGCGGACATTGAGCCGCCTTAGTACCTCCGTGAGGGGAGCGGGCAGTGAGCCCAGTCCGGGGGTATCTCTGTGAGGGGAACCGAAGCAGGACTTGCAAAATATGGAATATATCAAGATTATTTAAAAATAGAATGTTTTTTTGATGTAAACTCTTTCTATACGTTCAAACCTATTCAGCAAGAAAGGAGATGTAATGAATGGGAAGACAGCAGCTAGCAGCCCTTAGTCAACAACATATGGGAATTAACAAGCTTTAGGGATGTAGTAAATCAAAATGTTGATGTATGTGTGTGTATACATTGATAATTTGGCAAAGGATTCAAGGTCTGTATATCCTACAGCTGAACTAGCTGAACTATCTTCATTATAATACTTAAGATCATGCCTAAGGGTCAAAAAGACCTTGCCCAGGTGCAGACCCTTCCCCATTGCATGTGGAGAAGTTAGCTGGGGATTGTCTAACTTGTATGGAAATTACTAAATAATCTTAATAGAGAGGCTGACCTTGGAAAAAGACAATGAACTTCTGTAAATAATGGCGTGGAAAGTCCAGTGGGGTGTGTTGGATTTGTGGAAACCCACCAAGCATCCAGGCTTGTGCAAATAATATCTCTCTCAACTGTGTAATTATTGGCTTGTTGCACATCACATAATAAATCTGATTTTGAGGACAACAGGATGGAATTGCCTTGAGGAGAACACCTGGAGATCTAGGCTACACTAGGAGGGACCAGCCCCATCCCTCCCCACACTTCTTGTTGCACTCTGAACAGAACCATTCCAGATCGTTTTTGCTATGGGAAGATACCCTGAGGAGCAAGCCTGCCCCAGGAAGAGATCTTCCACCAGTCAGAGGGAACCAGTGACCCAGAAATAGAAACTTTACAGCTCCATGAAAAAGCAGCCTGTTCCAGTTCCTCCTTTTTTCCCCTTGTTTTTCATCTTTCATAGCATCACATTTCTGTTCACAGGTATGAACTATACACTCACACATCTTTTCAGTGCAAAGGCCGTGTATGAATCAGTATGGATGGATGTCATGCTAATCACCATTAATTAGTAGTAAGATACGTCAGCAGATGATGCAGAAGGAAGGGAGTGAGCGGAATTTATGGTTATTACCTCCAGTACAAGCTACCACCAGCATTAGTGTATTTTAACAATGTGCATTAAAGGAAAATACTGGCACAGGCTGCCCAGGACAGTGGTGAAGTCACCATCCCTGGAAGTGTTCAAAAAAAACATGTGGATGTGGCACCTGAGGACATGGAATATTGGTGATCTTGGCAGTGCTGCATTAATGATCTAAAAGGGCTTTTCCAAGGGCTTTTATAATTCTGACCCTATAAAATATGAGAAGGAAAGGAGGAGGGGCTACCAAATTTCCATCATTTGGTGTTAAATTTTAAAGGAGGAAAATGCTGCTAACACTTTTCAGTTTATTCACCATATCTGAAGGCATGAAAAAGCAGGGTCCACTGGGTCTTCTTGCAACTGAAGGGCACTAATGAGCAGCTATTACTTATTTGGCTAAATCCTGTAACCCGAGTCTTCGTGGTGCACACAGGAGACGGGTGAATGCTGCTGGATAAGAGCCTCAAGCAGCTAGACTAAAGATTTGATGAAATGCTCCTATTATGATACTTTGCAGCCTGTACAAGTTGGTTACCTGATCCTCTGCTGTACCTGAGCCTCATTGTTGCAGCTTTTAATAACTGAATATCCAGAGGACCTATAAAGGTGCCTTTGAGGAAAGAACTGACAGGAGTCAGTATTCCCTGCTCAAAATGGGCAACAAGCAAACCATTTTCACTCAGGAGCAACTGGATGCATACCAGGTATAAAGCAAACTAAATGGCTCTTTGGACAGGGCATTGAATAATGGCAAAGGTATTGTTGGGTTTTTAAAAACATCATCTTTTAAAAATTAATAAGTAGACATACTGAATTGCAGCAAAGATTTTAGTAACATAGTTTGGTTTTTATATCAAAAGGAAAGATTATAAAATATGCCTAAATGTATGCCATTAAGAATTTTTAAATGCTTACATGTACACTATAGTATAAATTCATTTAAGTCACTGCATGGGAAAAGTTTGGGTCGATGCATGCTAAAAACTGTCATTTTGTGTTATACCTTTTCTTACTTCATAGGACTGCACATTTTTCACAAGGAAAGAAATTCTCAGGTGAGTCTTCTGTATGCATGTTGTGAATAAAGGGCAGAGATTGCTGTAAAGGCAGGTTACATATGGAGTAAGGTATTTAAAAAATAATTTTTAAATGGATTTACTAAAATTTAAAGTGATACTTTGGGGCAATCTGAACATTTTTGTTGGCTTTTTTTAAATTTACAAACCCTATCCTTAACTGAGTCAGAATTCTAAATTTTGTATTAACGTACTAGTCCCTCTGTTTATTAGAAATAAATACAATTAATTACATCTTAGTGGCAGCGACATCCATATTTTTTTCACGTGGTTTTCCGACAGATGCTTCAAAGTGTGCTGTTATTCTCTGGAATACTTTGCTGGTTTATGAAAACTTTAATGATTGTGTCAAGTTTTCTTCATGTTTTCTTGTAAATGATTACACTGCTGCTCCAAGACATGTTTTTGCCGAGCCTCACTGAACTCCCTGTTTAATCTCTGGCCAAAGGATCTGAAAAAGGCAGGATCGGGTGGGACTGAGAGTCCTCTCTGAAAACATGAACTTATTCTCCTCTCACAGGGGTTTGGCTGCATGTCCTGTGTAAGCATTTTCACCTAACAGTTCTATAATGAAGCTCTGTATTTTTCACCAGTTACATGATGTTGCTTGTTCTAATAACAGTTGTTCCAACAAAAACATACTGTTACTTAGTGACCGATCTCCATCTGGTAATGGATGCAAAGAGTGCAAAACGAGGTGGAAAAGCAAACCACCTTGTTCTCAGAAATCCAAAGAGCCAACACGCTTTTCTCTCTGTCTCAGGTTGTTTCACAGGTACCGAGATCTGGCCCCACAGCTCGTTCCCCTTGACTACTCGGACAGACCCGCCGTGACACTCCCCTACGAGCTCATCGGCAGCATGCCAGAGCTCAAGGTACCCAGCACACGACTCGAGTGACACATTTCAGCTTCATCTACCCTTCTTGAATAATTCATCCAGGACTAATTGCTGGGAGGCTGCCATAAAATAAATTTGGGCTATCAAAGTAAAAAGTCTTTCTGGAAGCTTCTAGTAATTCCCAGAAAACACGCTGAAACAACACAAAGGTTAAATAGGGTGTGGCGGTGTGTGCTTCTGATACAGCATTAGACAAGAATTTAAAGGCAGAAGAGGGAGAAATTGCCAAAAAGGTGTTTCAACAAAAGTAATCTCACTCCACTTGCCTTGCCTGCACTGAAATCAATGTTAGTAAGTATTGTAAATGCAGGCGAACCCAGTGGGAATAAATGACAATGTCTGACTCAATTCAGAAGGCTGAATTATTTCTTTATTATAACTATGCTAAAATACATTAATATACTATACTAAAACTACATACTACTTTCTCTGACTCTAACTCTCACACAACTTGTGACTCTCTCTGAGAGTCCAGCCCCAGGTGGGTTGGATTGGCCACCAGGCTCAAGCAATCCTCACCAGAATCCAATCAAGCAAACAATTCTCCAAACACATTCCACATAGGAAAAACAAGGAGCAGAAATAGAAATTTTTTCTCTTTAATTTCTCTCTGTGCACCTCTATGAAATATCCTGAGAGGGAGAGAAATGTGCTTGCCACAAGTAAGGATGACCTTCCCTTGCTCCTGTGCTGTTTCCCAGGACAACCCATTCCGCCAGCGGATAGCAGAGGTGTTCTCAGAGCACGGCGATGGCAATATGACTTTGGATGATTTTCTGGACATGTTTTCTGTGCTAAGTGAAATGGCTCCACGAGACTTGAAAGCTTATTATGCTTTTAAAATTTATGGTGAGTGAGACATGCATAAAAGATAAGTGGGGAAGTCCTGCAGCTTCATGTATGGCTGCAAAATCCTCACTTTGTCAGCATAGAGATTTCTAGTTACCATTTCTTTTAATTCCACTTGAATGTTTTTCTCCCTTCTCTAAAAACTACTGGTTTTCTTTATCCTTTTGTCTCTAATTTATTTGGTATTAAGATTTACTACCAAATTTGCAACTTGAAATAACCTGCAGTTTTCAAAAGCTGATAATCATTAAGAAATAATTCTGTCTGAGGGACTGCTTGGAAAAGTACAGCACAGGGGATTTGGCTGCCCATGAATCTGCAGGGTGGATTTGGGAGGGGGAGGCAGGGAAGCAAACTGCAGGCTTTTTTACTCCAAGGACAAATGTAAAGATTTTTTTTTTAGATGTATATTTACAGTTACTTTCTTTATTATCAGCTAAAGACAATATTTCAAACCAACACAATTTTGCTGGAATGATTTAATGACTCCTAGGCTATTATGTTTAGCCATTAAACTACTTACAGTTGTTACCCTTTGAATGAAAAGAAGAAATTAAGAGATTTTTATTTTGTAATTGATTTCTTTTACAAATAGATAGAGGTAACTTCACTTCTGATTTGAGAATTCTACTGATAAAAATCCATCACAGCCTGGGAACCAAACCCCTCTATTGGGCCTTGGCAAACAACCATGTAAAATGCTGACTTTTGTTGCTTTGAATTAACTTTTGTCTCCTTTGTCAGACTTCAACAATGATGATTACATATGCAAATCAGATCTAGAGAAAACTGTTAACAAATTAACCCGGAATGAACTGACCCCAGAAGAAGTCAGCCTCGTGTGTGATAAGGTGATTTACGAGGCTGATGTGGACAATGATGGCAAGCTGTCCTTGGCAGAATTTCAGCATATGATTGTACGAGCTCCAGATTTCCTCAGGTAATATTTGCTTTTAATTTCTAACCCGAAATTCTCTTAAGTTCCTTGTCAGAAGGCTCTGAAGTGTGTGTTTACATCTCCTCAGCGTTTGCAGATCACCACTCTTCTGTGGCAGGTTCTAGTAGAGCTACCCACTGCAAACACTGCAAAAATAGATGCTTGAAAAAGACTGGAGGCTTCTTGACTTGCTTTTGAACTTCCAAAGTAATTTTTACATGACACAAGGTCCTTGTAACTTTAAAAGTTAGTATTAGCACTTAGGCTGCATTGATAAATGTATGAAATTTACTCACTCAGTGCTTAACATAGTGTTAATGTGGTTTCTGATGCACATCTTAAACAAACCAACACTCAAATCTTGCATTTATTTCATGTACTTCATCTTTGCAAATGCTTTGAAAAATAAAGTTTCCAGTTTATCACAGTAGTAAATCCTTTAAACAGTGATAAATAAGTGATCCTGACTTCCTTTTTTTAACAGCACTTTTCATATTCGAATCTGAATCTAGTCAACTGTAGGGACGGGCGTGCTTTCAGCAACTGTTACTACACCTGAGATTACCAGCCATGAGAGCACAAGCTGAGAGGGGCAAAGAGGACAACTGCTGGTAACTGAACCACTCAGAGAACTGTCTTTCATTTCTCTCTTTAAAAGGAACAATTCATTAAGCTCTTCATCAGGATTTCCCTGTAATTTAGCAAAATGTCTACTCCCCAGCCTCAGCTAGAGCAAACCTGGCCTGGACAGTCAGAAGGGAAGTATTTTTTTAAAGTTCAAATACCACCAGGAAGTAAAGAAACTTGTATCAAACTATAACCTCTAAAAATTCACCCAAAAATGCCTTAACCAGTAAAAAAATCCCTTTAGTTACAAAACCATGACTCCTCTGATTATTTATAGTCTTAATAAATGGTCCAATGAATCAATTCCCGAAGTATTCTCCCACAGTACAGGATGAAAAAGTACAATGAAAAAGTCAGCATAGTTTAGAAACAAGAGTCCACCCCAGGTCCTGTCCCTCTTCTCCATTTTCAGAAATCCCCTATTTTCCACACCCACCAGGGTCCCTACACACAAATGATGAAAAGGACTGAAAACTTAAGTTATTAAAATTCTCTTTTCATAAGAAGTTTATTTATGCAGTTCTTAGGGTCCTGTACAAGAGAGTAAAAACAGACATACTGTAATAAACAGTTTTGTTTTAATACAAACATGAAAATCAATGAGAAGTGTTTAAGAAAGCATTTGTAATGTGGGAAGGGTGGCAGCCAAAAGTGATCATTTGAAAAATACAATTTACAGTTATTTTTTACAAATTTTGGGATGCATTAAATTCCCTTCAAAACGAAGTCCTAAGTCCCAACTCACACTCAATGTAGAGCAGGTGATTCCTGCAGAAAGGCTGGAGAGACCAGTTAACCAGCCAGTTACCTTTATTAACCACAGAAACTCCAGGGATCAGGGAAGGATGGGTCGGGAATAAGGCAGCCTGGAACACTCAGACTGCAGTTACCATTCACAGTCCTTTGAATAGATCTTTAGTTAGGCTAGAAATGAGGACACAAGTTAGTCATCATTCTTCCCCAAGCCCTACAACTTCTACAAGTACAAAGGAGCACGTCCTCACACAGCTCTTTGTGCATTCCCCTGGCAAGTCCAAGAGAACAAGAAATCATGGCAGTTTTGAGCATGATCATCAGCCAAACACACCACCACAATAACCCCTTAGCAATCATCAGGGAGATGATCAGCATCTCACAGGAAGGGAGAGACAAAATAATTTTCAGCAGCAGTAAAGAGACTTACAATAATCCATAGGATTTATAAATCTGAGGCTGGAAGTCTGATGCTGGGATAAGGTTCTGATGTCAGGAAACATGAGCTGTGCCTGTCAGCACAGGACAAAGATAACACAGGTGTGAAATCAGTGACAGAACAGCAGCTCCACCATTTATTGACAGGCTGACAGTCTCCACCCCAAGGAGTGATGACTGTGCAATGTACTGCAACCAGCCTCAAAAATAAGGTCAACCACAGAATTCCATGATACTAAAAAAAGGGAATTTGAGGACATGCTCAAAAGTGGGTTTGTTTCTCTACAAAACAAATGTTAATCAATTACCTGACATTTTAGTGGTATTTAGACACTGAGAATGTGGTAGTAAGCAGTTAGTTTTGCAGACCTACTTCAATTCCTCAGTTTTACAGGTTTTGTACCCAATTTCTGATTTTTTCCTCCTTAGTTGAAGAAAGCTTAGACACATAGAGATTATGTATGTATTTACAGAGTACCTCTCTGACAATTGCATTTTCCATTACATTCATACTTAATAAACACAGTAATTGAAGGATGTGAAGGAAACCTACTGTATTTCTCCTAGATTTGATGCTTGTGTTTAGTGACACACAGTTAAGCCCACGTGCAGTGCAATGTCTTTAACCTTTTCCTCTCTTACACTTGCATTTTAGGTTTCATGTTGCTTACACAGATTTCATGTCTGTGTAGAGCCTTCCTACCCACAAGTACAGTGATGACTGTAGTCACAGTAACTGCATGAGACTTCCTGAGATCAAGCAATAATGTTGTTTTTCATAAACACAACCATTTCAAAGGAAATAATGTTATAATTAGGTACATAAACACATGCAACAACCAGTGTAAGTTTAAACAGAAGGTATTCACATACAAAGAATTCTGTATTCAAGAGTAACTTCAGATTTTGAAAATGAGAGAAAAATCACAATACCATCCTTCACATTTTACCCACTTGTAAATGAATATGGTTTGCTTTCCCATCTTGGGATGAGTTATTGATACAGTCCACAGGCAAGAACCAGCATCATGGTAGACCCATGGTATCAAGTCAGATAAACACCAATTTTTCCAGTCACTCTGAAAAATAAATCTGGCTCAGCATCTGACTGTATAAAGCACAATACAGATGCAAGAATACACAGTTATTACTAAGCCAGAAGAAAATTTTTACAGAGTTATGTAGGAAATTCAACCTGTCTTATCACCACCCCAGTTGTGCCTCAAACATTTCTTGAAGCACACACAAATTCTTTAAAACCATCCTTAGCTAAAGACAAGAGGTGCTGCTTGTCCAGTCTACAGGTCTGTGTTAACTACACTCTGTCTAGCAGCCTCCTCAGTAACTTAACATGGTTTTTATCCTACAAATACATCTATGTGTAAATCCACTACAGGGCATGTTCATCAAGTCCTCATGCTAAAAAGCCACAAGTAAACAAATAACCAAACCATCATAAGGTTATGGTTAGAGGAAAGCTTTAATCAGGACAGAGATAATCTAAATGCACCTAAAATGCATTTCTATAAACCAGCAACTTACAGAGTGAAATCTTTCTCCACTTTAGAACAGGCAGTATTCCTGTTGGGCCCAATTGCATGCTGCAGATTTATAGTTTAATTGTGTGTAACCACAGCAACACTTATTAGCGCTACTCTGAGGCCCAGAGTTCAATACCACAAACTTGAAGAGAACAAAACCGGTGAGTAAATTCCACAACTTCAAAAATCAACTTTAATTTCACCCTTAAGTGCAGTTGCCAATGTAAACAAAGTATGTTTCAATTCCAGCGAGCTGCAAGACCCAGGTGGTGTGTTCACTGGGGCAGGTACACCATCACTGCAAGCCCTGGGCAGCAGCCTTGGAGGGTGATGCTCTTACTGGCTCCTGTAAGTCTAATCAGAGTCAGGCTTGCAGCCCCTGCCCTGTGAGCAGCACCCACTGAGGAGATGTACTTGGCTCTGGCCTTCCACACAGGGGAATGTACTGGGCTGGGTTTGTGGGAATAGTAACAGGCTGCTCACTGACACAGGCTGTGAGCAGGCTGATGGCTGCAGTGATCCACACCCAGCAGCAAGGCCAGGCTCAGTCCAAGAGAGTCTCTTTTCTAAGTGTTCTGATGCGCAACATTTATTTGCATATGTGAGCAAGTGTGCTTGGGAACACACGACTGGGAGCAGTGCAATACGTTTCCTTGTCATGATTTAAAACTGCCTACTCTGTCATGATAGGTCTGGAGTCATTCCCAGCTGGAGAGTGGTAAAGCCACCCATTGCAAGGTGACAGATTTTGTGTAAGTGTCCCTGCCTGACCCCGGTTCTCCAAGAACTGATGACAGATCATCTGTACAGGACTCAGTGTAACCATCAGATCCTGTTAAACGTGTCTGAATGTCTCCAGTACTTAATTAAGCACAGTCAAGTCTAACACGGATTAATGACCAATGGTAAGGACCCATTCTATGTACAACACACATTCTTTTTTTAAAAAAATAGATTCCTTTAAGGAGAATTTTTTTAAAACTTCAATTGTACTTGTGGATTGTCTAGAGTAACACAGCTGAGTAAGAGACAGGCAGATGAAGGAGTTTCTCTGTAGTAGTAAAGAGGTGGAGCTGCAGAAAGCTCCCTTGTACCTCCTGGGAAGGCATCAGCCTGCACTGTTCACCTTGGTGCATTTCTGGGATGGTCTCATGCCACTGTTCCATGTGCAGCTACACAATGGATATGCACAAGTACTATGCATGCACACAGGTACTTCACTAACAGTGGCATTTAAGTTTCTCATTTTGATCACAACTTCATCTTTCTAAACTGGATACGTGACAGATACGAATGAAGACTGAAGCAACGGTGCTGCATCCCAGGTCACATGTGCTCAGCTCGTCCTCTGCTAGACAATACACATGCTCGGTGGCAATCCGACAAAAATAAACTTGTTTCATCTCCAAAATTGAAGAGTCAGACAATTACCAAAATAAGCCATATCTTATTCAGATGGTCACAGAGTGACAAGGTATGTTGGGAGCACTAAGTCCACAGAAAGAGGAAACCTCACTTAGCACAGGCACAGTCCAGCTCAGATTAAGGCCGTGTCCCTCACAGAAGAACACATCGGAAAAAGCTGCTTTTCTTTTGCTGGTCTTGTGTGATTTTGACTCCCTGGTTGCTGCCTTGAGGGCTATTGCCTTCCTGAAGATGGAAAGAATATCCAGTTACTTATTTATCCTTAACAGATTCTTCCATCCATACTTCATCTGGCCACTCTTAACCATGCCTGAGACACTCAAGAACCTTTCCCACAATCAGTAAGAGGCTTCACTCATTTATCTGAGTCTTACACCAGCCACAACCAAAAACTGGAGAACTGCATCTGCAGCTTTTGTCTTCAGCCAGCTCACACTGTGCCTATGCCTCAGCTTCCATCAACTCAAAGACAGCTGAGACTAAAAACCAATAAACTACAGGGCATGTTGTTGAAAGGCCAAGGAATCATCAGCAAGACCCAAAATATCCCACTGTCTGGTCACATGAAGGTGGAAATATTAGTAAGAGCAGAAAGAGCCTTCATTAGCTTCATTTCATATTCCTTAAGGAACAATCCAACATCACTGTGCATTTATTTGCTGTAAAAACACAACCCAATTGTTGCTCAGGATATTCGTGCAAAGATTATCCAAACCCATTCA